CACTGCATATATAGCACACATTTTTATTTTTTTACTTATCCTCTTATCTAATTTACTGACATTTACATATAATTAAAAGACCGAATTAATTTAAGAACTGATCATTTAAATTGATTAATGATCATTTCTTTAATTCACTGACCGTTCATTTATGTTACTGATCATTCATTTAATCTACTGACCATTCATTTATTTCACTGATTTTATAATTATTTTGCTTACTGACCATATCATTTATTCTACTGACCATGAAAATAGTACCCTTTTGTATTTAATGTAATTTTGTCTTTATTAAATAATTTTGTGATTTTTTTTACTAATTTGGTGATATAATCGATTTTTATACATAATTACAATTTTTCCACTTTTGTCTGTTTGAATAATTATGATATTTTCAATTGATTTAATTTCATGAAGTAACTTAATTTCTTCTTTATTCATATTTTGTATGAATATGGAAATTTCTGATATCCCTGCGTTCTTAATAATACAAGGTGGAGAAAATAGTGATCTTTCCCAGTTCACAATATTAATTATCATGTTCATTCATGTAGAAGTTTGGACGAACTTTAAAATTTTTGATAATCTTTGTATATGTTTTTGGCTCAATAGGATATTTGACATATTAATAACATTGTTGATCTCATATTTATTTTGATATTTTATTTTTCTTATTGTTGCTCGTTGTTTTAATTCGTATATTTCTTCCTTTTCTATAAGACTTCTTACGTTAATTGTAAATCTGAAAAATACCTAAAGTAATAAAATAATTCTTTTAAAATTGACTTCGGTGACGGAGTTATGAACAAAACTTTACCAAGCACGATGATTCATTTTCAATCCAGCTTGGGTCATAATATACTCCATAATACGTAATTGCATACGATTTTTCTTATTCTATTTTCGATTATAAATTTTAAATATTATTTTAATCGTCAGAATAACTGAATTTTACTCCAGTTTTGTGAAAAAGTTCCAAATAATAGTTTGAGCCTTTTCATGATTGATTTTCAATACATATGAGTTCAATATGTCGAAAATAATGCTTCATTAAGTACGATGATGCTTTGATTCCATTTTTGGGTTCAAAAATTGAAGGGATATTTTAATCGTTAAAATCAATTCTTTTTCATCCGGTACCGTGAAAACATTGCAAACAATACGTCAAAGCTTTTCACCATTGATTTTCAATACATCGTAATTTATAATATTCCAAAGAATGTTTTTTGGAGTACGATAGTGTCTTTTCGATCCGTTTCAGATGCTACACTTCGCATAAAATATCTAAAGTAGTTTAAGAATTGTTTTCAAATTACCTTCGGTCAAGAAGTTGTGAATAAAACTTTACTTTGCACTTTGATTAATTTTCAATCCATTTTGGATCATCATATACTCAATAATCCGTGATTGCTACAGTTTTTTGTTCTATTTTCGGTTGTAAATTTGAAATAATATTTTAATTGTTCAAATTACAGTCCTTTGGTCTCAAACTGAGATTAAGGGATGGGTTGTCTGATCACCCCTCTTGCAACGATTTCTTATTGTTTAATCACCATACTTGGGTTTTTGATACAGGACACTATAAGGTATATCATGGTATGGTACGAGTAATAGATCAATGAAATGAATGTATGAAAAGTGAAAAGAAAATATATGAGAGAAAAAAGCGTAACATAATTTATACAAATTTTGCGCAACAATTGATTTACACCAAAAAAGTAACATTCTAAATGTCTATCAAGCATTCTAATCACCAAATTCCGTAGTCCTATTAACGACATTTGTATTTAATGAAAATTATTCAATGCTATCGTCTACTTTTACATTGATATCGTTATCTTCATCTTCATCTTCATGATCATCTTCTTCATAGACTCCTTCATAATCCCCCGTATTCTTTATATTATCATCTATATTGATGGTGATAATGTTTTTCTTTTACGACCAACACCATGACGAAAACCATCACGACGAGAAACACCATCATCACCAGAATCACCACAATCATTATTAGGGCCAATATCCATATTTATTACAATTAAGCAATTAAAAACAATTAATTAAATCGCTACTGGTAAATGATAGCTACTGTCCATAAGTAAATATCCAATCAAGAAAAAGATCAGAACCACGTAGCAATGACATTAAGAATTAAAAATACTATATGTGCCACTTATGCCTAAAATGAGTCATTATTTCTAACTATTACTAGCAGTCTCTTTTTAAAATGGCATTAATTGTAGCGCGTCACTTTCTGTATATGGCTATAGCCATAATATATAATAAATACTTTCTATTGAATACGACAAATAGAAAAGATCAAAAAATACCAAAAGTGAAAAACAAAACAAAATTCCAATCTGAATTTCAGAGCAAAGCACTGTAGTTCTTTTTCATCTAGTTCAGCAAAAACATCTGGAATAATGATATACAGCTTTTGATCATTAATTTTCAATCCATATCAGATAACTATATCCTTAA